GATGCTGCTTGGCCTGCTGTGTTCATCCAGCCCTGCACCTTGTTGTCAAGGATTTGTGTCTGGTCACTCTGCAATGTCAGTACCTGTGTGTATGTTGATTAAGTACCAAATAACCAGCAAGTCTGATTACAACTCTCAGGAAAGGCCACTTTGGGGGAAGTGCTTTTCCATAAGGCACCACATTGAGACAAATTGGAACAAGTAGGCAAAGAAAATTGGACAGAATATTTTTGCTTCCTAGTTGGACATGTGAGCTTAGTTTAGATATGTGTTTGCATAATGTCCTCACCCATTTGACAAGACCATTGGAAATGAAGGCATTTCTTAATGTTGTGTAGAATGCCGGTCATTCAGATCAAGGTCTGAATATTATTCTGGGGCAGGGCTCTTCTTATTTACACCTAAGTACCATCCTGATTTCATTGCTGTGATTGAGTCAGATGTGCTAAGGCGGTGTCTTCTCAAGGTTTTGTTAAATCAAAGTGGGTGGGGAAAGCAGAAACATTTGCCTGAAAACACCACTGCCTTCCTCTCTCAGAAAAATATGTTGATGTGCAGTCAATAGTTCCAGCTACTTTATTTTTGTTTTGGAAGCAATCTAGCCCCTCCTATAGATGACATGTTCCCAAAATCAGATATCACAGCACATTTCAAAGCTGGGTGTAGCTCCAAAAGTTGTTGGAAGGCTATTAGTTATGGAGAGGTATTTGTATTAAAGAATTTTATGCTTCAGGAATTTTAGGGGAAAATGGCCAATGTTTATGTTCTGTGAATTTTGTGTTAAAGTAAAGCAGGATAAGACATTGTCTTTTGGGAGAGAATACTTGACAATTTTTAAAGTGGTCCACTTTGAATTAATGTGCAAAAATTATTTAATCTTTGTCTTTGTCTGTGTCTGTAGAGGACACATCTTTTCATGAGTCATCTTTTCAGGTGTTGCAGCTTTTAATCATGCTTTTATATGAGCACATAATGTTGTAAATTTGTTGATATTTCCCATTTGGATTCACTCTTGCCATGTCAAGTGTAGTTGCAGACTTTAACCCTGAGTACCTCTGAATTATGTTGTCAAGGTTTTCCAACTCTGCGATTTTAAAAAAAAAGTCGTTGTTAATTGGGCAATGCTATTGAATATTTAAAAGTACTCAAGCATGAAAAGTAAATAGTGAAGCTTGTGATTATGATTAAACATCCATAGTTATAGTTCAGCATAATTTGAAGTTGTTTCTGTACTGATCACACTTCCACGTGTAAGACTTTTGGAAGATAATATAAATGGATATTTCCATTACATTCCTTGTTTCTCACTTTTCCCCAATAAAATGTAAAAGACTGTTTTGAATTCTTATACCCATTGTTAATACCATCAGCATTTTGGAAAAGTGAATAAGTGAAAAACCTGGCTTTTTGGTAGAGCTATTTGCTGGCTGGCTTTCAGGAGGAAAAGGATGAAATTGTAACTTGGATTCTCAAAACACAGTTTCAAGAAATCTGAATTTCCACGAAAATACAATATTGTGACTATGATTGTCTTTGTTTCTAGCTGTAATGTTAATCGCAAAGCTTGTTGTTGACTGCTGTGAATTTTACAATTGCAATTTAAAAGTCCTGGATTAGTCTTTGTAAGGATTCATGTCCAAGAAACATGAATCACACACTCAAAGCCAGTAATAGAATTATTAAAAGAAACATGCAATCAATAACAGAATGAGGCAATCCTTAGACGTGACAAACTGCAGTGGTCTTGTTTTTAAAACTACACACAAAAGCCTGTTTTGTATTGATACTGGAGATGAAATGAAAAATCTCCATTTTAAATAAAAAGGAAATTGAAGCCACCACAAGTTGACTTAATTCCACATTCATACTATTGAGTTAGCTGATAAATAATAATAAAGACTAGAATCACTAAGACAGCAACATGTATGTTGCTTGCAAGAGCATAAAATATTATGTTTTACCACTTTATTAATTTTCTCCATTTGTTGGGGATGTGGGGGAGCTTAACTTCCTCCTGCTTTAATTATTTCTGTTCAGCATTAAAAAAATTTGTTTCATTGTCCAAATTCAGAACTTAATTCTGCATTTCTTTTTGTCCTCTTAGGTTGACAAGAAACAAACCATGAATGTGGGCACTGCTCACAGTGAAGTGAACCCAAATACCCGGGTTATGAACAGCCGCGGGATTTGGCTGTCTTATATCCTGGGAATAGGTTTGCTTCATATCATTCTGTTGAGCATCCCTTTCTTCAGTGTGCCAGTGGTATGGACACTCACTAATGTTATTCACAATATGGTAAGGCTGGTTGAAATGTCGTTGTAAATCATTGAAGATGCAGTAATACTTTTTGGACTGTTTGAGATGCTGTATTTTAGGTGTTCTGCATGGCTACTATGGAAGCATGTATACACTGCATGCAGGAGTAGGAATCATTCAGAGCGTTAGCTTCTCATTCATTTTCTCCTTTTGTTGTGGATAAATAGAAGCTAATTTCCTCCTGCTTTTAATTATTTCTGCAGCCAACATTATGTTGTGCTTTTTTCTCTGGTTTAGTATTTTCATACTGGTTTTACTACATTAACTAAAGCTTGCCTCCCTTAAGACATAGTAAGATTTCTAAAAATCTCTGTTCATGAATGTGTTTTGGAAGCTAACAAGTAAATTACTTTAAAATCAGCCTGGACTTGATGTGAATTCATGGCTGTTATTGCACTGGCTGCATGATCAGACTTTTTCTTTCTTTGTTCCTTATGTTGGAGCAGCGTCCTATTGAAGTTACTGAGCTCTGCTTAGATGATGAAATGGAACACCTACATCCAAGAGTACTCCAGTCAGTTCTATGAAACAGGTTTTGGGATGATTGTTGGCCTTAGAGAGGCCGTTCACCTGAATGAAACCAGAGCTAAAAGTGTTAAATCATGAAGACAGATTACGAAGATTAAACTTGCATTCAATTGGCTTTGTTCCTATGTTTCAGTTCTATCTGAAACAGCTGAACTAACTTCCCCATATATTTTGATGCTTGTGTTGACCAAGTTATTGCCTTCATTGCTCAGCTTCTCGTTTCCCCCATTAATTCTCACCCCTCCCAATTTAAATGAAAATAAAGTGGAAGAGATAACAACACTGAAACATTCCAGCTCTCGTTTTGAGCTGTCACCTGATTAAAGGTAACTATCAAGTAGTGCAGCAGTTGTTGGCATAATGAAATCTATGGAACTTGCAGTAAAACATTTTAGAATGTGAATAGTGTTGCCTCCGAGATAGTGTTCTGGGAGTTCATGATCTAGACTCAATTTACAAAACCTGGAGTTAAATGTGAGCACTCTGGAAATACTTTATTTCCAATCTGTATAGACTATCTGAAAACCTCAGGACCAACTGTTTTTTGGATAAAGGATATTTTCAGTTTTTGGATAAATTTGTGGATAGGTCCATTTGGGCCCTGTGGTAAAATCTTGGCTTTCAGATCAGTTCTGGTCTGCTTCGGTGTTTAGGTTTTATTTTTGGTTTTCAGACATGCAATTAAAGGATACCAGACCTGCATTTAAGGTGCACTGGTTTGTATATTCTTAGCCTCCTGATTTTGTTACACCTCCAGGATTTATTTTATTGCAAAGTTGTGAAAGCTGCTATTTTAAGTGCAATACTTTACTTGCTTATTCATGAGTTTTAAATCTTTGCATGTTTGTTCATTTATGGACTGTGTACATGTTAACATGAGGATTTTGCACCTTTTGAATGCTATGTTGTTGAAATCTTCAACCCAGGTGCTGTTATGTAGATAATTGTTTCTTTTTGAGACAAAGGATAGCACAAGGTGGTAAATTTGATCCTGAAGTTGGAAAAAGAATAAAGATAGCCAGAAATAATTTAGCAAAGATACAGGATGTGTTAACAGGTAAATTCAAGCTTGTAACTGGGTAAAGCTCAAAATATATTATATTCTCTCCTATTTCCTAAATGCTGGTAAACCTAGACGGTAAATAAAGATGTGTGGAAGAAAAGAGAGGTTTTCGAAATGCAGATGCTAAGATGTGCTTAAAATCTCATGTACAAACAAATGAAGAGGTACTTGAAATTGCAAAGAGCAAAAATACAGTGTGGAAGCGGGCCATACAGCCCATCAAGTCCGCGTCGACCCTCCGAATAGCATCTCTTCCCCCCCCCCCCCCCATCCTTTACTTGGTAACCCTGCATTTCCCATGGCTAACCCACCTAGTCTGCACATCCCTGGACATTTTGGGCAGTTTAGCAAGGCCAATCCACCTAACCTGCACATCTTTGGAATGTGTGAGTAAACCGGAGCATCTGGAGGAAACACGGGGAAAATGTGAAAGCTCCACACAGACAGTGATGGAGTTGAATCTGGGTCCCTGTCGCTATGAGGCATTTGAAACCGTGACATCCAGAAAAGCAAAAGTAAATATTCCATTTGATCAGAGCTGAAAAGCTGCACAGATCTCTCCAGAATGCAGAGTGGAGGGCAGGAATCAGGTGGGAGTCACCTAGGCAGAGTTGGATAACAGACATCACAGAGTGATGAGCTACAGTGGATGTGTAAGAATGATGCAAGATAGATGAGTATGACACAACGTGACAGAGATGTGGCAGTAGCTACAAGGAGCAGCAGCATTTATTTCAGTTCCAGTTGATGTGACCATTGCACTCATCACATCTATCTCAAATCTATTCCATCTAAATTCAGTTTTAATGGCTACAGATCCACTATCCTAAGTTTGAATTCTTGCTCAAGGCCTTATTGTGGATGTGCCACACCTCTCCAGTAGGGGACATTCCTGTGAAATTAGGATTAAGCCGTTTAGTTTTATGAAGGAGAAGTGGGGTTTTATTTATTCCATTCACCTTTAAGAACTCTCATGTTCGGCATTATTGCTGGTATGATGCCAAAAGCTGAAGTATTCTGCTCCTGAAAACGGTCAACCCTTTGTGTGATTACCAAACACTGAGGTCTAATGTAATAATTTGATTCTTTTGAAGAAATAGGCCTTGATTTTCTGATTGAAATCTCTCAGCTGTGGACAATAGACTGCAGACAAGGTCTATTTTGAAATTTTGGCACAAGTTGGGTTTTTATAGACTGGAATGTTGCTGTAATGTGCATTTTCTGAGCTCCAATACACAGCACAGAGCTAGTTTGGATTTTAAAAACAAAGCTCTGGTTTCTCTGTTGTATTGCTCACAGAAGTATTTTTTTAATGGATAAAAGCCTATTTGTTACAACATTTTACTCTAGACACATTTTATACTTTTTCTGTTTCATTACTCATCTATCTATACTACATCTCAACGTTTTTCCCCTCTAATCTATTCACTGATTTTTGAAATTTGGAATGTACTTTGAAGTTTCTGGTAAGAAATCAGTTCAAGCAGTTTTGTGACATTGCTTTGTCATTTGCAGTTTCATGTCCTGTTATGCAAGTGTTTGTTACTTGATTACTGGACCAATGAGCAACAGTTTGTGTGGGACATTTGCTTAAGTTTTTCAATATTTTCAAAGATTCTTGTGGAAAGCAACATAAAACGCTTCCTATGATCACTGTGAAATCGTATTGATTTTTAAATACTGGGTGCAATTTCCCCAATGTTGCTTGTAAAGAGCTACGAGTACAAGCTTTCTGTGGGTAGAAAGTTGTGTATATTTTGCGTAAATCGAATTGATGAGATGAAATTTTATCCAGTGAGACTTTTTGAAATGAAGAAGCAATCTCCAGAAAGTGCAGGGATGAACGTGACAAGTATTCACTGAGGAATGCAATAAGTGGTTAGCAAAGAGCCAGAAATGAGGGCTGAACAGGAGAATGTCATTGAATAGCACAGTTAGCCTGATAGTGAATGCTGACATGAAAAATGGGTTTTCTTGAAAGTTAAGTGGGAAGCAAGACAGACGACTGAGAAAGAGGAATATAGAGACAGACATTGCAAGGCATGATGTCTACTGTAAATTTTAATTGCAGGAATCTGCTAGTAGATTGGGGAAAAAGAAGGTTGCTTGTGGCTGTGGTCAGCTAATTGAAAAGATTGCACTTGTTCCTGCAAAAATATTTAAATTGACTTGTTAGATGTAAGACTTGTTTATATGGGTAGGTTATAACTCTCACAATTGGAAGAGGATGCAAACGAATGATATCTAATGGCAATATTTTTCCTGGCATTTTAGAATGTGTTTGGTGAAAGCTGGTCAATGAAGCCTCTATAATTGAGTCTCATGGAGTTAGTGGCAGATAGCTGTATTGAAAGCTGGCAGGCCAACAGGAAAGAACAGGTGTTGAAAAATGGAAGAGGGCTCTGTCTTTGTCTTTGGGGAGGAAAGATTGCAATGATTTATTGAAGCTCCAAGTTACTGAATGTGGAGATGAATTTGTGAAGCAGAGTTTTAAAAAAAAAAGAGCTGTGGCTAAATGAATATGTATTCCTGTCCCTCAAATGATCTGGGCAAGTTGTGTTATCCAACAGAAATTGGCATTTCAAGTTGTTAAGTAGGTGTATTTCATATTATTGTGTACACAATGAAGTGCTCCTTGACACAGGTGGGATTTAGGTGTGTTCACAGATCATTTGCAAAGTGTACAGTGGTTAGTATGAAGCGCGGATATTGAAAGAGTTCATAAGTTATTGGGATTACTTGAGGGTATTTGAGTACAAATAGATTTAAAAGCCAATTATTTATTGAGTTAAAGCACCACTTGGTGTAGTATTAAATCATACAGACTTAAAGGCCATGGCTTCAGAAGAATCTGTATAAATCAGACCCCACCACCTGCTGTGCACAAGACTCCAGCTGACCTCTTACAAGTGTCTTACGAGAGGGGCTTATACAGCTACAGGTGGTTCAGAAATGGGGAGTGGTGGAAACCATGACAGATTTGAACACTTAAGATGAGCACCAAATTGAGACGTTGGGAGACAGAAGACCTAAAATGGGTAAGAGTGGAAACAAGTAGTAGAAACGCAGAGGACTAAATTTTAGGAAGAGGAGGATGGGGAGCCCCTCAGAATATTGCACAACTGGAGCTATCAGTCAGGACGCAGGGTCAGGTTTGTCTTTTACCTTCTATTAATATTTTCTCCATGACCAGTTAAATGGGTTACTTGATGGTCTTTCATTGGATATAGGGTGCCAGTAAGACTTGAATTGTATCCCAGCATATATCTCTTGTCTTTGTGAGAGGAGAAAAAAATTGCACCCTGTATGTTATACTCTTGTGGCAATAGGGCCAGGAGCAGACCACTTGGCCGATCAAGCCATCTCTCATTTAGTGAGCTTGTTCCTGATTTGATTATTGTCTAACTCCATTCTCCTCCTCCTCCCATAACCTTTAACTTCCTTGCAAATCAAATTTCTATCTAATGTGTTCAGTATGAAATATACAGGATCTGTGCTGATTGAACCAATGCTGATATTCAGTTCTAAAAAAAGTAGTTTTGAAATGTTATAGTTTTGTGTCAAACTGTTTTTAGTCACTTATTTCAGTAATCCAAAGTTATCAAATTTAAAGACAATTAATCTTTCACGTTTTAATAAATTAGTGGATGCAAAAGAACGCTATAGGAAAATGGCCCACCCATGGTTAACAACAGAGGTTAAAGTTTTTTTTGATTGAAATAGGAGTCATATAAACCATAGCAAGCATTAAAGTATGGGAGCAGATTAAAATTCTGCATAATAGGACCAAGAAGTTGATTTTGAGAGGGGAAAAATAGAGTATAAAAATAAAATTGCAAGGAACATAAAAGCAGACTACGAGTGCTTGAGATGTATGCAAAAATAAAATGATTCATTAGACGAATGTCGGAACAGGAGAATTGATAATGGAGAACATGCAAATGACAGAGCAGTTAAACAGTTATTTTATTTGTGCCTTCTTCCATGAAGGCAGAAGGCACAAATAACTTCCCAAAAATGCTAGGGAAGCAAGGGTCTTTTGGAAAAGAGGAATTGAAGGAATTTAGTATTAACAGAACAAGTTGTCTTGGTCTCCCTGTAGGCTGTTTTGGACTGAGATCAGGAGAAATTTCTTCACTCAGTGGGGGGTAAACTATGGAATTCTTTGTCAGAAGGCTGTGGGGGTGATGTCATGAGTATATTTAAGAAATAATTGAATAGATTCCTAGTGTCTCAAGGTACCCAAAGGTATGGGGGGAGAGCAGAAGTATAGCATTGAGGTAGAGAATTGACCGCAGTTATGTTGAATAGTGGGGTGGATTTGATAGGCTAAATAGCCTACTCTTATTTCTTGCGTTTTGGTTATGTCTCTGTGAAAGCTAGTGGTCTAAAGCTTAACATGCCACAATTTGTACAGACCAATTTTTGAACTGAAGCATTAATATCTTGTATAATGTCGGTGTTGAAAGTCTCAGGTTACTTTTGCATCTATTCAAGTATTTGCTGTAAACTGGATTCAAAGAATGTGCTATTATTAATATGGTTACAGTATTGAATGTGCCTGTGCCATAAGGATTAGTGCTGGAACCTCAACTGTTGACAATTTATATAAATGACTTGGATGAAAGGATAGAAGGTACATTTGCTACGTATGGTGGTGACACAACAAACAAGTGGACTTATTAGCGATAGACAGCATGGTTTTGTGTGGGCGAGGTTATGCCTTACCAACTTGATTGCGTTTATTGAGGAGGTGACGAAGATGATTGAGGGAAAAGCAGTTGATGTTGTCTACGTGGACTTCAGTAAAGTCTTTGACAAGGTCCCTCATGGCAGACCGGTACAAAAGGTGAAGTCACATGGTATCGGGTGAGTTGTTAAAATGGATACAGAACTGGCTTAATCATAGGAGACAGAGGGTAGTGGTGGAAGAATGCTTTTCTAAATGGAGGGTCGTGATTAGTGGTGCTCCACAGGGATGAGTGCTGGGACCTCTGCTGACATCTGTTGTTTATGGTCAACATAAATGATTTGGAGGAAAACATAGCTGGTCTAATTAGTTTGCAGATGATACAAAGTTTGGTGGAGTTGCAGATAGTGAGGAGGATTGTCACAGGATTGAGGAGGATTGTCACAGGATACAGCAGGATATAGATCAGTTGGAGGCATGGGCAGAAATGTGACAGATGGATATTAATCCAGACAAATGTGCAGTGATGCATTTTGGAAGGTCAAATACAGGTGGAAATTATACAATGAATGGCAGAACCCTTAGCAGTATTGATATTCAGAGGGATCTGAGTGTACAGGTCTACACATCACTGAAAGTGGCCTATCCGGTAGAGAAGGTAGTAAAAAAAGGCCTATGGCATGCTTGCCATTAATGGAAAGGGCATTGAGTGTAAGTTATGCTGCAGCTTTATAGAACTTTAGTTAGGCCACACTAGGAATATTGCATACAGTTCTGGTCACCACACTACCAGAAGTGGAGAGTGTAGAGAAAAGGTTTACTAAGATGTTGTCTGTTTCGAGGGATTTTAGCTATGAAGAAACGTTGGATAGACTGAGTTTGTTTTCACTAGGAGGTTGAGGGAGCGACCTGATATAAGTTTATAAGATTGTGAATGGCATGGATAGAGTGGAAAATTAGGCTTTTTCCCAGGGTGGAGGGGTCAGTTACTAGGGGGACACAGGTTCAAGGTATAGGAGAGGGAAGTTTTTCCAGAGATATGTGAGGCAAGTTTTTCACACAGTGAGAGAGTGCCTGGAACACGCTGCCAGAGGAGGTGGTGGAAGCAGGCACAACAGCATTCAAGAGGAAGGGAATAGATGGACAGGGATTCTATAAGTGAAGACAGTTTTAATATGGAAGGGCAAAATGTGTCAGTGCAGGCTTGGAGGGCTGAAGGGCCTGTTCCTGTGTTGTGTTGTTCTTTGTTCTAATAATAGGTAGGAAATTAAGTTATGATGAGTACACAATGAGATGATGAGTAATTGGTGGGTTAAGTGAGTGGGCAAACGTGCCTAATGGAATATAATGTGGGAAAATGTGAAATTGTCCATTTTTGATAATAAAAAATGTTATCTAAATAGCAGGAGGTTAATGCTCTGGGGTCCTGTGTATGAATTGCAAAAGGCTAGTATGCAGGCACAGCAAGTAATTAGGAAAATTAATAGAATGTTTTAATTTAAAGTGAGGGGAATTAAATACAAAAGTAGGGAGATTATGCTTCAGTTATACAGCGCACTTAAGTAATGTACTGTGCACAGTATATTGGTCACCTTATTTAAAGAAAGATGTGAATACGTTGGGGCAGTTCAGAGAAGATTCACTTGAATGATACATTGTTTGGAGCTGTTGTCTTACGAGGAAAAGTTGGCTCGTACCTTTGCTGGAGTTTCGAAGAATAATAAAAGACTTGTTTGAAATGTAAGATCCTGAGGAGTCTTGACAGGGCTGATGTGGGGAGGATGTTTCCTGTTATGAGAACGAGGATTCACTGGGGCTCACCTATTTAAGATAGAAACAAGATGCATTTTTTCTGAGGTTTGCATATCTTTGGAACTCTGAGATATACAGCATGGAAACAGACCCTTTGGTCCAGCTTGTCCATGCCAACCAGGTATTCTAAATTAATCTAATCCCATTTGGCCCATATCCCTCTGAACCCTTCCTATTCATGTACCAATCTAGATGCCTTTTGAGTGTTGTAATTGTATCAGCCTCCACTACTTCCTCTGGCAGCTCATTCCACCTGCTATGTGAAAAAGTTGCGCCTTGGGAGCCTTTTAAATCTTTCCCCATTCACCTTAAACCTATGCCTCTAGTTTTGGACTCCCCTACCCTGGGACAAAGACCTGATTTTTCACCCTATCCATGTCCCTCATGATTTTATAAACCTCTATAAGGTCACCACTCAGCCTCCGACACTCCAGGAAAATAGCCCCAGCCTATTCAGCCTCTCCCCATACCTCAAACCCTCCAACCCTGGTAACATTCTTGTAAATCCTTGCTAAACCCTTTTAAGTTTCACAACACCTTTCCTCTAGCAGGGAGGCCAGAATTGCATGCAGTATATGGACAGTGGCCTAACCAATGTCCTAATTATCTGCAACATGACCTCCCAACTCCTCTCCTCAATGCGCTGACTTCCTGGAAAGATGGTGGAAATAGAACCCATGAATATTTTAAGTCAGAAGTAAATATATTCTTCTTAAACAAAGTGTGCAAAGTTATCAAAAGTAGGCAAAAATATGGACGATTTGAGATTAGCCAGATCAGCCATGATCTTATTGAGATGGAGCAGGCTTGATGGGCTGAATGGCCGCTTCCTAATTTGTATGTTTTTGTGTAATTCTTTTCCCTTCTACCTCCCAGGGAATGTACATATTCCTGCACACTGTAAAGGGAACGCCATTTGAAACTCCAGATCAAGGAAAGGCACGGTTGCTGACACACTGGGAACAGATGGATTATGGAGTACAGTTTACAGCCTCGCGCAAATTCCTCACAATCACACCTATTATCTTGTGAGTCTGAGATCTAACTATTGAAGACCGGGTCAGTCCATGGAACAGTGACCACTTATAAACTTCTCTTCCTTTTAATATAAGCTTTGTTAATACACAGTCCCTGAAAAATAATGCAAAATGTCCGTCCTTTTTCACTAGCTTCGTGATTGAGTGCACAAAATCAATCTTCTGTAATCCTAAACTGTAAACTTCAAAAAGCCTCCAATTTTTAGTACCTCCAGAGCACCATTGGAGTTCCTACAATTTACTTCTGCCACTGTTTCCAGGCTGGAGGGATGGCAAGAGGAAATTGGCCAGAATTCTCCTTGTTGGGATTTAACTATGATTTCTGGAATTCCCTCGTGAGGTTGCAGAGTGACCATTGGATTGTGACAGGCTTCAAGGTCAAATACTCTGGCATTGTTGTCCTATATCTGAAATGATGAGCCATTGGAGGTCTGTTATCACTCATAGCAGTGCACTTCAACATAATCAAGATAGAAGGGTAATTAAATAGCTCGAGAATAGTTTCACTATTGGCCCCACTATTGGCATCCTGTTTGGATATGATAAATTGTATGAAATTTGAAAATACACACCAGTAAATTACCAAAGAAGGTAAACCATACAATTAGAATATTCTTTGTCACATATACTCCAGTATAGAAGTACAGGAGTACAATGAAAAGTTTTCACAATGGCTGCCTCTAATGATGCCATTTTAGGTGCAAGTACCTAGGTACAAATCTTGGATACAAAGAGGAATAAAAGGAAAAGCAGTAGCATTACTTAGTGTCTAAAAAATAAATTAGAAATAAGATAGGAGTTATCAACATTTAAAATCTTTCCGGTGTTAGAATCCTAAAAGCTATAAAAAGATGTTAGGTTTTATGAAAATGCTGCCAAATCTTCAGGAAAGTTTTTTGATTTTTTTTGTCTTTTTTTTGTTTCAAAAACAGGTATTTTCTTACCAGTTTTTACACAAAATACGACAAGTTACATTTTGTTATAAATACAGTTTCGCTGATGAGCGTCCTCATCCCAAAGCTGCCTCAACTTCACGGAGTCAGAATCTTTGGCATCAACAAGTACTGAATGCAGCATGATGACGCGTGTGAAAGAAAACACTTTTAGAACAGCCGTCAGCAGCAAGGGCACATCGTGTTCAGATATTAGGACTTGTACACCTGCACCCCATAATCTCTTATCATGGACTTTTTATTATGAATAGTATATTCGTGAATGAAGCAGCTCATGTTGGTTGCTCAGGTATCTCATTAAATATTTGCAGTGCTCGGAATAGAAAGCCTGCTTTTTCGTTTACTGCCGGTAGATCCTATTTTCACAAATGATATTTTTGATGCCTTGATTTGCCATTATTAAGTGAGGAAATTTTGGTATTGTAAACATTTAGTTGTTGCAGTGTGCAAACTTGCTGTCCACTATGACCAAGCAGATGTAAAAGTTTAATGTGTAAATACTGTAATGAAAGTAGATTTGTGAAGGTATCATTTTGAATGATAATTGCAGAAGATTTGTTTTCAGTGTCACAATGGATGCACTTGCTGAAGATTCGAAAATCATGCATGCTCCAAAATGGCAGGATTGATTAGGTATCCTTCACTCTATTGAGGTACATGGAAACATTGTCTATTGGCTTAGTGGCCTCTTTGAAGAAACAGTGCTGGTCTTACTGTGCATTTTTAATTAGTATCTTTTGCAGATAATTTTATTTATTTTGTTTTCTTTTTCTCTATCTCGTTCAGTGTTGTTTGAGAGAAAATTTACTTGGAAGAATGTAAACAATCGTAATGATGTGTTTTGAATCACAGCTTATGAATGCTTGATTTAAAAAGGTGTTTGTTTTTGGATTTTTTTTTAATGTAAAGTGTTAAATAGTATAGATCCTGTGTGTTAATGAGGGCAGTGATTGAGGCTGGATACTTAAGTTAGTCTCCCCAGGGCTTGTTTGTATGGAATCTTAGAATGATTATTTTTTTAACATTCAAAAACAAATTGGAATATTGCAAACATCAGCAAACATGCATTTTCCTTTAAGTTTGCCATGTTGCCTAACTTGCTTTCCTTTTGAAACAAAATGTAATGCTGGTTGTTGTATCTGATCTGTTTTTCTGTCAGACTACATTGTAATTTGACTGGCTGACGAGATGTGTATGAATTTCACCTGGTTTTTACTGGATGGCAGCAATGTACCTGACTTTTATATTGTGATATACCTGTTGCACACTTGAAGTACACACTAGTACAGCTGGAATTCCTTGCAGATTTGCTAGGACTACAAAATGACAGCACTGTGAATCATGTTTTTAAGCAATACCATATGAAGACATGTCCCATAGCAAGGGAATTGAAGGCATGCCTAGATGTTGAGGCCCTTACTGGTTTGGTGGGTTAGATTGCTAAACTTTTGGCTTTTAGGAATTGGGTTTTGGAACTATGTGGAAGGAAAGAGCTGAAGTTAACATTCTCAATTTCAATCCAGTTGCTAAGAATGTAAAACTGCCTGATTGGAGTGATTTGGCAAAGCCCACCAAGACAGTGAAGGTTGCTGATCTTAGAAATCCTACTGCAGTGATGCAGTTGGGATTAAGACACATAGCTATGATGAATTCCCTGACCATCTGATTTATGCTATCCTGATCCAGAGTACCTGATACTGATGGTGCTGGTTGCTTTAGCGGATGTGAAGTATTACTTTTCCCAATGGTGAATATCTGAGCCATGTAGATTGGGAAGGAGGAAGAGGCCAGGATTGTGCCCCACTTTTGATTCCAGTCAGATCAACTAACTGTAGTTGGGACAGTGGTAAGAGCCTACTGTTGGTCTAATTGCTTCTAGGTCCACCGAGGTGGAAAATCAGTCTGTTTGCAAAAACAGTTGGGTAGCCATCTTCATCTGGAGATGTGCTAGTGTGGATGTTGGGCAAGAAGGTAATTGAACTCAGTTTCCCCATGCTGCTGAATCTCTAAAAGATTCATGCATGAATAACTAGAATTAAATAGCAATTCATAGAAGTATTGAATGGTCACATAACAATAGTGGGCACCTGGAGAAGCTGACAGTGTTGATGGTTTGGTGGAATATGGGAGTAGAACATATGTTATGAGTAGGAAGTAAATCCATTTCCATTCCCACCTTTCATTCCCTGCTAAGGTACACGTGTAAGTATGTTGCTACTTTTGAACAAGACTTCCAAAATATTGAAAAATCCTGATCTTTTAAAGAAATCTGCCATATTTATAATCTTTAAAAATTATGCTTGCATTGAGAAGTGTGTCCTGAGGTATTTTGTCAGGAATAGTCTACCAGCATAATCGGAGTGCCCCATTATTGGCAGTAATTAAAAGTTTACAGTGTTTTCTAAATCTTGGAATTTAACCATAATCCTCTTTCTTGCACTATTATTCAGTTGTAGAAGAAATGTTCAAATTGCACTTTTTTAAAATGTTTACAAGCCGATGCTGATCTCCTACAGTGAGAAGGAAACTGAGAAACCAATTGGACTATAGACTTTAAATAAATATCTTCAAATTAACTTCTCTCAAATTTTTGAAACTAAAACACCTTACTTACCAAACAAGCTAACAACTGCAGCAGGTTAACCCTGTCACTCTTCTGATCCTGCAGAAGCACAGATTGAATACAATCCTCTGCTTTTTATTTTGACTATTAATGAATTCTGTCGTTCACATGACTTAGTTTGTGTCAAGTTATTTCAAACTCTGTGAAAGGATATGCCAGTGAAAAGGTTAGCCTACGGTATTCAGGATTTGTTAAACATTTTAAGATATTGCTTTGTTGATCTGATGCCTTGTACAAGATGATTAACGCCTTGAATTTTTGAATTCTGGTAAATAAATACACGGCTGTTTTTATAGTATTCTGATGGGTTCTGGATTGTCAAAAAGTAACTAAACTTTGTGGTGAAAAACAGTATGGTCTTTTACTTTACCTACAACTCCCTTCCACTTTCAGTATGTATCATAAATATTAATGGGTTATGGGTTAGTACTAATTAAGTACCAGTGCTACCCTTACTCCAAAAATAAAGTAGCAAATGTGGGAATTGATGTTGTATTTTAAAACAATTCAGGGTCAAATTCCTGCACTATTTTTATAGTGGCTGTAAAAGGTACGAATACCAAAACTATTTTGGTTGAATCTAAATTAAATATGTGGCAGGCTGGGCCTTTTGAATTTTATACCAGTCAATCAATTGTGATATTAACCATTGAAGAATTATTTGCATTGGGGACTAGTGATTTTCTGTTTGAGCATCCTGTAAATAAGAGCTAATTAAATATCTGGTGGCAAAAGGGTTTTGTATCCCAACTGCCCTTCTGCACATAGATGTTTTTTCATCTAGATCTTTGTAAGAAAGTGTGAATAATATTTTTATTACTCCTTTGTACAGTATTCTGATATTTAATAAAGGACAGTATTCATGTAATTATGCAGTCTCCTTTCTTGTTCATACATTTACAGCAATTGTATACTAAAACATTCACTGGAGCTTATAATATTGATGAAAGAGGGGGTGTAAGATGGAAGACATCTGATTGGCCCCCAGGTTTGTTATCCAATATCAATAAAAGACAAAATTAAGTGGGAGATTATGCTGTAGCTGAACTTTGCCAGCATATTGATAGCAGAGACAGGCAATGCAGAATGTGTAGTAAACTACATTAAATTCCTAAACCTCAATACTCCCCCACCACCCCATTCCATTCAGTTACTACCTCACTGTTAAGTCTCAGTGACATTGTAACAGCCATTTTATGCTATATAGAGAACTTTAGAAATCTTCAAACTACAGAAATAGCAAAATCTGCCCTTATGACTATTTTATTTATTCTGTTGTGGTACATGGGTGTCGCTGACTTGCCAGCATTTATTGCCCATCTCTAGTTGGTGTGAGCTGCCTTCTTGAACTACACAGAGGCTCAGTGGTTAACACTCACTGCTGCCTCACAGCACCTGGAACCCAGGTTTGACTCCACCCTTGGGCAGCTGTCTGTGTGGAGTTTGCACATTCTGCTAGTGTCTTTGTGGCTTTCCTCCCACAGTCCAAAGATGTGTAGGTTAGGTGAATTGGCCATGCTAAATTCCCATAGCGTCTAGGGATGGGTAAGTTAACTGATTTAGTCATGGGAATTGCAAGGTTACAGGGATTACTGGGGGTGGGGGTGAAGGGAGGTGGTTTGGGGCTGGAGGGGATGCTCTTCGGAAGGTTGAAGTGGACTTGATGCGCCAAATACCCTGCTTCCACACTGTAGGGATTCTATGATACATTGCAGTCTGTGTGCAGTAGGTGGACCCACAATGCCATTAGGGAGGGAATTCCAGGATTTTGACCCAGCCACAGTGAAGGAACAGCAATGTGTTTTCAAGTCAGAATGGTGAGTGGCTTGGAGACAAACTCGCAGGTGGTGGTGTTCCCATGTATCTGCTGCCCTTGTCCTTACGATGGAAATTGTCATGGGTTTGGAAGGTGCTGTCTAAGGATCATTGGTGAATGTCTGCAATACACACTGCTCCTGAATGTCATTGGTGGAGGTTTAATTTTTATTCTTGTGCTTTTGAAGCTTTCTTATTGGGATTTTGGTATAGATCACATCACTCTCTTTATTTGGTAAGCCTGCTGTTTTCACCAACTCTAGTTGCTTTCAGATGAGTGGCATATTGAAACCATTCATAGTCTTACAGCACAGAAACAGACTCTTTGTTCCAACTCGTTCATGTTGACCAAGTATCCCAAACTGAACTAACCCCATTTGCTGCATTTGGCCCATATCCCTGTAAACATTTCCTATTCATGTACATGTCCAAATATCTTTTAAATGCTGTAATTGTACCCAACTCTATCACTTCCTCTGGTAGCTCATTCCATACACGCACCACCCTCTGTGTGGAAAAAGTTGCCCCTCAGGTTCCTTTTAATTCTTTTTGCTCTCGCCTTAAACCTACGCTGTCTAGTTTTGAACTCCCCTAACCTGGGGAAAAAGACCTAGGCTATTCGCCCTTTCCATGCCCCTCATGGTTTTATGAACCTCTGAGGTCACCCATCAGCCTCCGACACTCCAGGGAGAAAAGTCCCAGCCTCTCCTTGTAACTCAAACCCTCCAGTCCTGGCAACCTCCTTCCTATAGCAGGGTGACCAGAATTGTAATACTGTTATAATAATACTAAAATAATTAAAATCGTTTATTAGGCATGGTAGCTCAGTGGTTAGCACTGCTTCCTCGCAGCACAAGGCTCCTGGGTTCGATTCCACCCTGGGCCAACTTGTGTGGAATTTGCACGTTTCCCCCATTTCTGTGAGAGTTTCCTCCCACAGTCCAAAGATGTGCAGGTTAGGTGTATTAGCCATGCTAAATTGTCCATGATGTCCAGGGACATTAAGGCTAGTTGGATTTGGCATGGGAAATGCTGGCTTACAGGAATGGAGAGGGGGGCGGTGGTGTGGGTCTAGGCAGGATGCTGTTCAAGGGTTTGTGTGGACTTGGGCAGAATGGCCTGCTTCCATATATAGGGATTCTATGTATCTGTGATTCCCTCTGAAGCCTGATCATTTAGCATTGTGATCTCTAGACAGTAATTTCTGCTGGGGCTAAAGGCTCTAAGAAAAATATGAAGAGATAGTAAGAACTGTCGATGCTGGAGTCTGAGCTAACGCAGTGTGGAGCTGGAGGAACACAGCAGGCCAGGCAGCATCAGAGGAGCAGGAAAGCTGATGTTTCAGGTCAGGACCCCTCTTCAGAAATGGGGAGGGGGAAAGGGAGCTCAGAAATAGAGAAGGTAGGTGGGATGGTGATAGGCGAGTAGAGGTAGTGGGATTGGTCAGTGGGAAGGGTAGGGCGGATAGATGGGAGAGAATATGGAGAGGTGGTGTCAGGTCAAGGAGGTGGGGATAAGAGGGAGGCTTGGACATGGGA